AAAAAAAAAAAAAAAAAAAAAAAAAAAAAGAAGATAAAATTAGAGATTCATACATGTACATGTAAATGTCACGGGCGGGGGAGAGACGGCGGTGACAGAAGGTGCAAGTGCGAAGAAAGTGGAGAGAAGAATGGTCATCGGAGTGTTTGTTAAAGGCGGAGAGATTTCTCCGGCCTCTCGGTGACACGAAAGACAAGGTGTAATTCAATTGATCAGTCTCCGGACTTTGGGTGGCGATCACCGGAGGAATATCTCCGGTGGCGGGATTGTGAAGATTGGATGGCTGTTCGCCCTCCACGTGGCTGAGATCCACCGTGATTCCTGATATACTCGCCGTTCTTTTCATCTGCGGCCGTGGACGCTTCCTTAGTATCATCTTCTTCTTCTTCCTCAGAGAGAGAGAGAGAGAGAATAAGAAGATGCAGAGTGAATGATTATTATTATTAATAAAATAAAATAAAATAAAAATAAACAAAAAAACAAAAAGGGTATATTACAAAGTTTGTGCTTTGAGTCTACTTTTTAGTTCATATGGATATTTGTTTAGACTTGTTTGACGGTTCGAGAATATTGTTGAAAATTTTAAAAATTTAATTATACTTTTGAGATGATAGGCAAATTTCAAAGTTATTTTTATTAATTTAACGCTAAAATAACAGGGAAGTATCTCGATACATGTGAACGAACATACAATATGCATGAGGCCATCATAATTCAAAATCATGGCATGAATACGTGATGCTTCATTTCATATGTAACATCATCGTTTTATGTCATTTCAAAATATAGTGTATAACATAGTACCACACTTTTCATAACATAGCATAATCATCAATGACATAACGTGTCAACATGATATATAATAACATGGCATGTCTCATATTACAACGTAACATAATAACACAAGCATTAAACAATCACACAACACGTGCAAGGACCACTGGGTATGTGTGGTTTATATTTCAAACAGTTCATCTAACCAAACTAGTAGATGAATCACTTGCTTGGTTGGCCCAGACTAGAGTTACTAATTATGTACTAGCATGAATATGCTCCTCGAAATCAAATTTAACCGATGTGGTTTCATATACGTCGAAACATAAACAATAATTCAATGTATTAAAGCATATGTTCTCGAGCATAGTTTATTTTGACTTATGATCGAACCTACGCGCCAAATGTCCAAAATACATCCATCAAACAAATAGTCAAATTTGGAAAGTAATAGGATGGGACACCATTTTCATTTTCCTGTAGAATGACACTTAGACACGTCAAAGCAACAACCATACTTACACTAATATTTAGTTAATAAGATCATCCACGTCATTCATTAATAACATCAAAGACCGACAATCGTGAACCAAGCACGGTGGGACAAGAAATCTAAGGTTCTCTATCACTCTTTGGTCTCACGAGTCAAATATGTTAGAAACTACAACTCTTAACAATAATATGATATTTTAGTTTTTCCGAAGAGTCTCGTATCAATAAAAACTATTTCATTAGCCAACGTGGAACTCCTCTCACAAGAGTCCTCGTAAAAAAAATACATCTCAATTCAAGACCGAGACGTAGCTAGCCTAGGTGGTCTAGCAGGTCCCCCATTCTAATAATTTAAAATAATTTTTTCAAAAGAATCAAAACCTACAAAGAAAAGCTTTTCCAGAAACACAAACATTTATATCATAGGCTTTAAACTCCAACGTCTGTAATATTCATTTCCATATCCATCACATATAAATGAGCAAATTTTCATTCTTGATTAAGCTATCATTCTTCTTTACCCATGGCCATCA